ACCAGTGGGGATTTTCAAGATTTACATGAGAAGTATCAGCACGGAGGCAGGCAGTTTTCAGTGACTCCCAAATCCAGTGAGTTTGAGTTTACTGAGTTCCGTACGCTCCATCTGCAAAGGTTGCCCACAGCGCTGTTTCTGCACGAGTAGGCTACAGCTGTCACATGCCCCCGTGACATGTCATTGTCTTCTGTTATCATCCTTGCTCTACAGCCTGTGTCCCTGCATCAAAATCCACCTTCTTGGTTTGCCAACATGGTCATCAGAATAGGCATTGTTCCTTAGTATCTCTTTTGAACCAAAGGGAGAGAGAAAAAACAAGCCATTATACATAAATGTTTTGGCTTGGATACAGAATACTAGCTCAAATAAAATGTCACCACAAATAGCACAAATCATTGCAAACAAATACTGCCTCCACGCCTGGTGTAAAACATCCACAGATAAGACTAAGACTATCAAATGCTGCTTTGGGACATGCTTTTGTCTCCTTCATCTTTAAGCCTCAGCGCTCAATCCAATTATCCACGAATTTCGGTTCTGTTCTTGATTTATGTATCCTAGGGTTGGAGGGTTGTTGTTTTAAAAATATTTTTGGTATGACAAGTTGAAAATTTTAGCTCATAAGCTAAGATTACCTCAAAATAAATATGTTAAATTAAATCCACAAGATATGAATGCAGGCACTCTTGGCATACAAGTAAGTTAAAATATAATTCTTCATAAGGAATTGACATTATTCATAAGATTCTTTACATTCTCTCTCACCATTTATTTTGAGAATGTCCAATTTGTGCATTTTTCATCAACTTACACTGTTAAGTGTAAAGTGTTTCCCCAGAAAAAAAGGATTCCTCAAAGAGTCTTGAAATTGCCTTCTGTAGTTTCCTTCCTCACTGTAGCTAACTATAAAACCCTTACACTGTGTAACTAAAATGCTAGATTCTTTCCATAATTCATATTGATTTTTGCATAAAATGCCTATTCTGAGCTCAGAACTACATAATCAAATACAACCATCAGTTTCTGATGCTAAACAAAATTATCCCTTTGGGGGGATTTATTCACACCTTCTCTGGAGATAAAGGGGGAAATAATCATCTAACTTCCTCAAACATTATAGTTTTACATTAGATAAAGCAGACACCTCTATCTGGAGTCAATTTCCATGTCAGGTAAATCAAATAGTCATAGCTCCACAGTGAAGAACTAAATTTCATCAAATTTCTAGACAGTTCCTGAGGCTTTTAAACCTTCAAATACTCAAAGGAGGTGGTCATGAGAGAGCTTATGAAAAGTGATATTTTTTCCAGGGAATTTTTATCTAGTATTAGCCAGATGCATTACCCTTCATGTCTGTCCCTCCTCAAAACAAATCAAGACTGCCAATTAGTTTTTGACAGAATTCATCTTCTGAGAAGGTGTCACCCCAAAACCCTATCACTTCTCTCCTTTCACATCCAGAGTTGTTGGAGAACAATACATAGGCCCATCTCCTCCCCGACCCCTCACCCCCTCCTCCTCCTTCCTGGGCGCACCTACATTGCCCTTTTCTCCCCTTCTTAGTCCTTGCTTGGCTACTTCCTGAAAACTTTGGTCCGCATACACTCTGATAGGGCTTTATCCTGTTGTTCAAGTCTCAGCTCAGATGCCCCCCCTCCCCAAGAGGCCTACCCTAGCCACCCATCAAAAGTGCCTTCATAAGAGATTTCATGTCTCATCCCTTTGTCTCACTGGCTTTGTAAAGTTCTCATGATCTGAGACCATTTTGCCTATTTCTTTGTTTATTATCTGGCATTGTAATTTCCCACTGGAATATGAGTTCTAGGAGAATGGGGCTTTTACCTGCCCTCTGTTGCATTCTAAGTCACCAGCATTGCACCATATATGTCTAATAGACCAGAGACAAAGGCAGATTCTGTTGTGTCTGGAAGAAAAATATCATATCCTTAGGCTAAGTCTCCTTCTCCCCAACCTCTTTACTTCCTCACCCAGATCAGGAATTTTTATCTCTTTTGCTAGCCGAATTGTTCAGACATCCTCAAACCACCTGACTTTCATTTAGTCTCCACAAAATGAATACTCCGTCCCAACCATGCATTCCATCACTTCCCTACCAAATTGATATTCCCCAACTCCCTGAGGAATTTTCCCTGCTTTTCAAGAAGTACACAGTGCCCGCAAGGTTACTAAATATGAGTGCACGCGCCATCACTGATGACTTCCAAATATGGCATCACAAGAGCCCAAGTGACTTGTCGACATGATATCCTATCTCTCGGTGGCTGGATTTGGGTTTGTTAACTTTAAAATGAGAGGCAGGTTTAAAGATTAACAATTTGCCTGGATAAAAGAAAAAGGAAAAATATAATTAATCATTTGCCTGTCCCCCAACACTAGTTTACAAAACCATGGTGCAACTTTATTGAGCTCAAAATTGAAGGGTGGCAAGGTTAATATGTAGCTTTAGACCTCACGGTTTCATTAACAAACACATTACAGGCTGTAAAGCTGAGCTGACATTAATGCTAGGCCCAAACAAAGTAAATAATTACTGGCTTGGCAAATGAGGAAGTACTTGCAGAGTTTGTTTACATTGGGTTTTTGGAAAATTCATGTTGGCAACAAGTCAAATACAGTTTGACTAGTAATTGTGACAATTGCTCACAGATGCTGTTGGAAGAACAACAAAAGAATGGATTTATGGCTTTTCTCTCCCCCTACATTTTACCCCTTTGTTGCCTTTTTTTTTTTTTTTTCTTTACCATTTTGGATCAATAAAGAACTTGCAGCCACAAAGATAAGTGGGTTACATGGCAGATGGGCCTTGGAATGTTTAAAAATCTCATGTTGCATTTTGTCTCTTGGCTGTAGATTGGAAAAGACACAGCTGCATTCAAGCTGCAGTCATAAAATCCATGCTCCTTGAAAATGCTTATGGGTCCCCTTAATAGAACAGAGTGGAGATGAAGCCTGCTTAGAAATTTTCCAATAGAAAGACTGGTTTGTTTTGTGCTGGGGCACTGTTAATAAGCCACTGAGTTCATAAGACTTCAGGACGGGGTTCTGGCTGAATAGGATCCATTTCATTTTCCCTTGCTGGATTGGAAAAGCATAAACAGGAATCAAGGAATAAAACAACTCACCAAACTGGAAAATAGTTCTGCAGAGCAATTGAGGTCTGTGACATATAATTTGAAACAATTTTGGTCTCCCTCATCAAAGATCAGTATTTTGCCAACTAAAGCTAATATTTCACAGACACACACCACACACACACACACAAACACACTCACACACACACTGGTCCTTCTAAACACTTGAATCTAAATCTTTTTATTCTCAGAAGATAGAATTTCAATGATTTTAAGTATAAAAGCAAAGCCTAGATGTTTCTGATTCCATTTCTTCTAACTTCACGTGGTAAAGACCAAAATATCCTGGGATTTTATAGTGCTTAACAGAATTGTTCAACAAGAGAATCTAAAGCCTTCATTATTATTTAAGTGCCTTATCTAGATCCATGATCTTTGTGATATCAAAGTCATATCTATTGTCTGTTCCAACATGCTGTTCTATCATTCTTTGAATCATGTTTCTCTTAATACTCCTTTGGGTGATCATTGCATAAAACCTAATAAAAGTATATCATTATCTGCTAAATAACTAAAGTAGAAAGGAATATATGCCCCAATAGGCCTTGTAACCACTTAAACACAGTGGTCATCTATCAATACCATACTCGATTTACATCATCCAAGTGTTCAGATTTTTCTTACTCCTAACCTTGAAACCATAAATATTCCTTAGAAGGAAAGCACTTGCTGTGAAACTTCCCAGCCTTCAGGTGAATCACCGATAGTTGTATTTTAAACTCTAACATTTCCTAACTCGGGACTTTCTCATTGCCAAGACATCTCTGACCATGAAATTTGGAGGCCAAGGGCAAGGCATAGAGAGAGGTTGGCTGGCAGCAAAATTCTTCAGATTTTGCACCAAAATCTTTGACCCATGTCTGAATTATCATTAGCTATTAACTCATGACCAGGGATAAAACTTGTCTGATGTCCCTAATGACACTTGAGAAAACAATTACCAGTGAAACTTCCTGATACTTTTTTAAAAAATTATAGGCTAATTATCAATGATAATAAATCAAAGTAACAGTCCACTAAATAATGTGTCTGTCCCACATTACCAACATCGTTACAGCAGCCACTTCACTGGCTCGTTTGCCCCTCGCTTTTTACTTTTCAACTCTTTCTCCCACGTTGCAGTCAACCACAGATTTGATCATGCCATACCATCACTCAGAATTCTCTGAAGTCCTCTTAGTGCCTACAGGATACAGACCAAACACCCACAGATGTCTTTGAATGCTGACACGATCTGACCTCAACTTAGCTTTTACTGTCTCCAACCCTACCCCCTTGCTCGGTTGGCTTGTGTCCTCTTCAGGTCTTCTTGGCATTTCCTGAAAACCCCCAGAAGCCTGACTAACTCTCAGGCAAGAGAGAGACTGCTTTTCAATGCTTGCTTTTGGGTCTTTTATCATTGGCCTTCTTTTGGTACCACAAAAGCATGATGTCCTTTTACTCAAGAACTGGTGGGCCACTCTAAAGATTTTGAATATAATTCCAGCAAAATTCCTGAAACTTTAAGTTAGAACTTACATCATAAAGCCAGATCATAAGTTACAGAACAAAACAGAAACAAAAACCCAAAAAACAACATATTAAAAAATCAAGATTTTTAAATTTTGCTTTTAAAAAAAGAGCAGCTTTTACAGATTTGGAAATATGCTGACCCAATCTCGTCTGCTGCCTAACCACTACCTGAAGCAGTAACAGGACTAGACTAGAAAATTGAACTCAATATTTATATATATGGCAACCATAAAACCAGTGAATGTTACCTGTCTCCCAGGGTAACATTTGTCGAGTCATAAAACTGACTCACGGACTGCATTGAACTTACACTGTTGAATAACATGCATGGAGGGAAACCAGAATTACAACCACACGTAAAAATGGATACATTAGAGGTGGATTTTGAAAGAGGTAAGAAAGAAATAGAAGGCAGTTGTAAGGAGATCACTTAAAATTAAGTATGAATGGTTTATACTATTGATTAAAGTATTTTTGAAATCCATAAAGGAACACTTTGTACCAAGTAGCTTTCATAAACCTTAAGAAAGACTATTTGGTTCGGTTCAAAGGTCAGAAGCCTCTGTCCCAACAGGTAAAGAAAGTGGTTCCATTTCCATTTTAAAAGATCAAAGTATCTCTAAGTTCAGAGTCTAAAATTGTATTAATGATCTACTCTTGTCATTTTTTTTTTTTGAAGAAGCAAGCTGTGTTTGGAAAAATGCAGTATCTAAATTAACATTAAATTTACAACATCTTTATATGTTATTATATATCTCATCTCTTCTATCAAATTATAAACTCCTTAGGGATCTTTGTATCATATAAATCCATAGTTTAATCCTATATCCCTGGTACAAAGTAGGCTAACAATGCATATTTTGAGTTGGACTATATTCATTCAAGAAGTCTTTTAGATCTTCTCAAACTTTTTGATTCTCTGATGTCTTGCCTTTCCCCCTTTCAAATAAAGAATATGTTTAAAAGGTGAGCTACCAATTGTTGTATGGATGTCTCTCAATCATGCTACTGGGAACCTATTTTTTTTTAAGATTTTATTTATTTATTTGACAGAGAGATCACAGGTAGGCAGAGAGGCAGGCAGAGAGAGAGAGGGGGGAAGCAGGATCTCCGCCGAGCAGAGAGCCCAATGTGGGGCTCGATCCCAGGACCCTGGGATCATGACCTGAGCCGAAGGCAGAGGCTTTAACCCACTGAGCCACCCAGGAGCCCCTGGGAACCTATTTTTGATAGCTCTACCACAACCATTTGACAACAAACAAATCAAGGACAAGAACTCGACTTTCTTTTTAATTTCCCATGTTTAACACACACTCTTCTGAGTCATAGATTTAACTCACAGAAGTCACTACCTTGAGATAAGCAGAGTTGATGGGTTAATAAAAAGAAGAATCAGGGGGAACAGTGGCAAAAGCTTCCTGCCCCAAATCTATTTTAAAGACTAGTTACATGGTTGTAAAGAGTGTTAAAATGAGAGCTTGCCTGTTATCTATCTGGGCTGACACCCTAGAGTTAGTAAATCTAAGTACTCTTACATTTAAAATAGCATGCTGGGCCCTCACGGGCATTCACAGATGGAGAAAGCTGGCTGGGTGACTCCTAGGTACTACCCGCCCTAGGAAAAAGCCCGTACCTCCTGAGTTTGATGAAGCAAGGCAATGCATGAGTGCTGCAGTAAGATGTGACCTCAGGGAAGGCTTCGGTTATCCTGGATGCTGCCTGAGAAGAACATCAGCAGGACAACGTGACCTCAACGAATAAATTTGTGCGAGTGGACTTTCATGAGTCAGGTACCAAGTCCAAAGCAGCTAGCAGCGGATGCAGTACCTATGCTGGAAAAACTCAGCAAGAAGTCGAGAAATGCACAAAAGTGTGTGCACATGGATGTGTGTGTACATGAATCTCCAAAAAGATCCACAAAAGACTCATGAAAGAAGGAAAGAGTTGTTTTAAACTTTTAAGTTCAATTTAGTTAACATACAGTGTAGCATTGGTTTCGGGGTAGAGTTTAGTAATACATCTGTAGCATATCACACCCAGTACTCATTACATCACGTGCCCTCCTTAATGCCCATCACCCCGTTACCTCACCCCTTGACCCACCTCCCCTCCAGCAGCCCTCAGTTTGTTCCTTAGAGTTAAGTGTCTCTTATGGTTTGCCTTCCTCTCTGTTTTTACCTTATTTTATTTGAATGAAATTCAATACAACTCAAATGATACCAATACAGTTTACCAAATGTGCCAGTCAAGCAAGACACTTTCTGTCTCTGCCCTCTCTCCCCATTTTCAAACCCTGGAGAAGCCAAAGGCACCACAGGGTGTTGGGAACAAAGTGTGGAAAGGTGAACTGAAATGCAGTTCGAAGTTGAACTGTGTTTAGCCTGCACTGAGGAAGCAGGGAGTTAAAAAAAAAAAAAAAAAACTTAATTTGCATGGGAGTTTGAGTAATATTAGAATTTTTAATGCATTTATTGTACAGAAAAAAACAGTTATTTCCAATCAGAGGGGTTCCTGACCACATGGGAATTACGTGCTCCTCCAGGCATGTTTTAAGGGTTAACAGTGCAAAAAGAGATTGGGCAACACAGGGTTCTACATGTAGTCTTTTTTTTTTTTTAAGCTGTACAGTTATTAAATTTTCCACTTGGTTAAAACTGTGGGAAGATATTTTGGCACATTTGTACAGAACCCACATTTTACCTTTAGCTTCAGGCACCAATATGGCTCAGCAAGGCACTGTAGATCAGTAACTTCTACAGTCAAGGGCTATCATGTGATGTAGGTATTATGTATTACGTAGGAGTTGGACTTTCTAGTCGTCTCCTTATGTTAGTGTTACACAAGAACATTTACTTCCAGGGTCTCCTAGGCAGGACCCACGAAATCATCCGGAGGCCCTGAGAGAATGGCATCCAGGACATCGAGTTCTGTTGAAAGGAAAGTATCCAGAATCACTAGAGATCAACCCTAATCAGCAGGACTAAGCAGCACAGTGTATCAAATTCCAAGAAAGCGAAAGGCCGAGGTAACTCCGAAAATGGAGAGAGGAAGATGAAGCGTGGAGAATAATTTTGCCAAGGTCACAGTTCAGCTTCTGGTCTTCCATGCTAATTCTTTTCACTGCAAAGGTAGATTTTCATGTGTCTATTTGTTTGTTAATTAATGGACAGTTCCTACACAGACATTTTTAACATCATTTCAAATTTTGATCTTTTTTTTTTTTTTTTGGCATTTCCTTTGTGGAGGCTGGGATGCATTTCATAGAAAGAAATTAAGAATATGTTGGTTTCTTATTTGTTTTCCAGATTGGAAAAAGCCCAGACTCTTATAATATAAAAGGATCTTTTTAAAAACCACCACTCAGATATAAATTACATCTGCTGGATCAGCATCCTGTTGCTATGTTGCTGATAAACAGAAGCTGACTTCATCACACATGGTGGCGTCTCTTCAGACGCTAGCTCTGTACCTCCAAAGCAGCGCAGTATGTATGAATGTTAATACGACTTCTCTTGGATCTGTTGAGTCAGCTCTTACAAATCTCTCTGGTGAACACTCCACGGTGAAGCATTGGATTATCTGGTCCACCTTCTTTCCAAATAGAAGGGGCCTGAGCATGGGGACAAAAAGAACTTTAAGGTAATTCTTGCCATAAATGACAATATATACGCTACTTCAAGACAGCCAGCCTCCTCAGCAACAACTCAGCACTGACATGGAAGTTTTCAACTTTACCATATGGAACAGATCTCTTCTTAAGCAAATGTCAAATCCATAATAATTAGGTCAGTGCTGTTCGTTTCTTCTCCCAACTCATACCGACCTCTTGCTGGGTAGATGGAGAACTAGCTTTAATTTTAGGCATCCATGAAACCTTCTCTCACCTTCTTTTAGGCTCCTCTGACCTCTTTATTATTCCAAAATTTCTGTAGCAGAAATGCTCTTGCAACTTCAGGGATCAACAAATTTTTTCTTAAAAGGGACAGATAATAAATATTTTAGGTTTTGTGGGTAATTTAGCCTCTGTAGCAACTACTCTACTTGGCCATTGTAGTGCAAAAGCAGCCATAGACAATATAAAATGAACGAGTATAGCTGTGTTTCAATAAAACTTTATTTGTGAAAATCGGCAGACAAGGTGGATTTGGCCCCTGGCTGTAGTGTGCTGTTCGCAGCTTTAGTCTATAGCTCTAAACTTGGTTAAAACAAAGAGGCTTGTGGAAAAATGCTCTTTAACTACCAACAAATTTTATTTTCTTTATCAAGAACTGATTTTCACAAGAGATGGACATTCAGAAGGTACTAGACACTGAGGAAAGAATTTTTTTAGCTTTTCTTTTTTAAAAAAGCTCTATACTTCGCTTGCTATAAATTGTCCACAAGAGAATTTTTAACTGTCATTTCTTAGTATGATACTGTCTAGTTTTCCAGATGAAAACAATAAGCCAGAGGCGGAAAAAATCGTAAGGACTCATTTAACTGAAAATTTTGAGATGAGTTGCTGTGGACAAAATGGCTAATATAGTAGTAAATGGCACTAAAACATGGTGTCTAGAGTTGGGGAAGTGATAGTCCCTACATATTTATATTTATTGTAACTTTAATTAAGTTCTGGATATCAAGAATTTGAGTATCACTATTAAACTAAAACAGGCTTGGAAGAGAGAAAGAGTTGAGTGACTTGCAACATTATTGTGTGACGAACAAGAAAATGAGGTTGTTCAGTCAAAAAAAGAGAAGACTCAGGGAAAATAATATTTTTCTTCATATATTTAAAGGGCTGCATTTAGAATATGAAGTATGTTTCTTTAGTATGATCTCAGAAGTAAAAACCAAAAAGATAAATTTCTAAGAAAATCTCAGCTAAATTTTTTAAAAGGGTTTTCTAAGAAAATTGAGGATGGAAAAGACTATGTTTAAAGTAGTAACCAATCTATCTTTCTTTATTTGGGATGTTTAACCTTAGTATGGTGGGCATATAGATCAGGGGATTCAAGAATTAGATGGGTCATTCGATTAGGTCAATGATCCTTGAATAGAAATTTCATGGACCTAGAATATATATATATTCTATAGAAATTGAAAAAAAATGCTAATTTTTTGTAATGCCAAGTAAGAACCTTCAAACCAAAACCAATGACCAATCTCATTTCATAAAATAAATTATATTTTAGATGAAAACATAAGAACACATAATATTAAAATTAAAGGCAGTCTTCAAAAATAAACAAAAGTTGTAAAAGGCATAGATCTTAATTTAATTGAACAAAATTTAGCTAGCTAAATCAAGAGACGACATGAATTTTATTTTTTTCATTCTGATACAAAATGGCAAAAACCCTGTTATGGATTAGCATGAGTCCCTCGATCATTTGGGAAGTTCTGAACCTTTAAAGTCCCACCCAATTTTAAGACTCTGAGTCTGAGCGAACACAACAGTGCCGAAGTATGGATTTTGTTCTTCTTCCAGGCACATAACAGAAGTAAAAGCTATCTTCAAAATGTTCTGCCATGTGAATTTATTATTCTAAATGACTTCATTTACCTACAAGTGGCAAAATCCTATACCATGAGCAAAGCATAGCATTTACAGTGTGTTTTGCCATCCTGTGGTAATGAAACTAAAATACAAAATGCCATAATTTGATAAATGATAGTCACATACTAGTTATTATGGTTTATATTATGCCCCTGGCACCCCTCACCCCACCAAAAAAAAAAAAAAAAGGCTTAGCAAATAACACATTAACTTTGATAATTTTAGAAGCAAAAAGAAAAATCCAATGGCAATATGAAATGAACAGTGGGCTTATTCAGGAAATTTTCTAATAAAACTTAGTCTTTCAAGATAACTTAACTGGGGGGTGCCTGAATGGCTCAGTTAAGTGAACGACTCTTGATTTCAACTCAGGTCATGATCTCAGGGTTGTGAGGTCGAGCCCCCTCATCAAATTCTACACTGGGCGTGGAACCTGCTTAAGATTCTCCCTATCCAGCTGCCCCTCCCCACTTCTCTCTCTCCCTCTCAAAATAATAATAATAATAATAATGATGATGATAAACAATTTATATTCTCAACTAAAATTCTAAGAGAAGTTAAAAATAATGTTCAAAAGATCCAGTCTCTCATAAAACTCTGCCTCAAGTGATTCTGTCCCTTTCCTTCAATTTTCCTTCGATGGACATACATTGTATGACTCTGTACAAATTATTTTGAGAACTATTTTTGTGAATTCGATGCATAGCTGGATTTTGTTTTCCTAATGATCACACATGTGTGCATGCACACACACATACACACATACACACGCAGTCACACTAGCCCTGATAAGAGTGAGGTATAATCACTAGTGAGGGGGCAAACACTATACCAGCTTCTATTCAGAGCTATGTCAATGCCCATAAATTCTAATTTGTAACACCCCTGCAGTTCCATTGTATGGTTCCATTAGTCTGTGCATGAATTATTCACACGAGATACATCATAATGACATCAGAACCATCCATGATATCAATTCATACTATTATAAAAAGGTAATCTTCAACTGTGCAACACAACATGTGTTAATTAGATCTCCAAGAAACTTTGCTAGTCTATCACCTTCTTACAGCCCAGCTCCGGCCTCACCTCCTCCAATAAGCCTTTCGGTCACTCCATCCTACATCCATACGTTCCATTTTTGTTCTGTCTGTGGAATACCTGACACAATGTAGAAGTTTAGACGACATTTCTTTGTGCTGTTGTTTTCATTGCTTTGCAGATTTAACTCTTGAGTCCCTGAATGGATTATTTGATTCTTGAAGGATGAAACCACAATATATTGTTCTTTTGTAACTACTGCAATACTTAGCAATTAACCTGATTAACTGCCATGCAGACACAATTCACAAATTTTTAGATCCTGGGCTACTTAGTTTAGCAGATTTCAACTTTTTGATGATCACCCAAGTTTTGGTGGTATGGTTTATTATTTCGTTATGAAATGTTTTGTCTTTTTTATGACTCTTAATTTTTTGAAGAAATAAACAGCATCTTGTGTAATATTATTAAAAGCAGGATTGTTGTGAAGTTAGAAGAAATATATGTAAATTGTCATGGAATGGTAAGTGACACATAAACAATGTATCATCACCATTATTATTTTTCCATTCTTTGATACTTCAGGGCATATAACAATGGGCAATTATTAGCAGAATACTTACAACAGAAAAGCAATTTATAAGAGAGACTCACATAGCTTAGTCCCATGCATTCAATAAGTACTTAATAATTCACCATTCAACTCTTTATAACATATGTACAGAAACATGCAAGTACTTCCAATGAACAGCCCAAAGGAATGTTCACCAAGTAAACACACCTGTGGAACCAGCAACCAGTTTAGGCAACAGGACATTATCAGCATCCCAAAAGCCCCTCTTGTGCATCCTCCCAAGTCCATACCCATCCCCCCTACAAAGTATAACCAGTATCCTGCCTTCTGATAGCATTGATTAATTTTGCTTGTTTTTAAACTTTAAATAAATGGAGTTATACAATAGGTACTCTTTCACAGCTAGCTTTTTTCACTCAGCTTGGTGTTTATGAGACCAGTGCATACTACTACAAATAGCTGTGGGTTTTTTTTTATTTTTCATTTATAATACTATTTATTATTCCACTCTATAAATACACTACAATTTACTTTTTCATTCTATAGTATGTGGGTTGTTATAAATAGTACTGTTTTAAATATTATTATGCCTTTGGATGAACTTGTGTATACATTTCTACTGAGAATAAACTTGGGGAAATTGAATTATTATATTCTTATTTACTAGATAATGTAGTTTACTAGGTTTAGTTTTAGAAGAAATTGCCAAAAAGGTTTTCAATTTGCTTTTGTCAATTTACAGTTCTACCAGCTGTGAATAAGAGTTGGAATTTGTCCACACTGTCACCAATTTTAACATTACCTGTTCAATTTTAGCCATCCTGGAGTATGTGTAATGGTAGCGAAATGTAACTTATATTTCCATGGTGACTAATAAAATTGAGAACTTTTCATGTCTATTGGCCTTTGAGTAATCCTCTTCTGTGAGTGGCTAGTCAAATGTTTTGCTTATTTTTCTATGGGGTTGTATCCCTTTCTTAAAGATTTAGAGATATTCTTTGTATGTAATGTAATCACTGATCTACTTAAATTTACATCTACTATCCTGCTATTTGTTTTCTATTTGACCTACCTGTTTCGTATTTATTTTTTTCTTCTACCCTGTCTTCCTTTGGGTTAATAAAAGATTATTATTTATCTGACACCATTAATTTCTTAGTTATTCATTCTTCTATTATCTTTTGTGATGTTAAGAGATTACAATATACATCTTTAACCTAGAATGGACTACTATCTTTCCCAATAATGCTAGAACTCTGGAATACTTTAGTTTATCTCTTTGTTTTGCATTTTGACATTTACCTGTGGGACAATTTGCTAAAAAGCTTCT